TAGTAAGTGCTTACTGTAGGCCAGTGGCCTTAAGTATTTAGCTTGTTTAATCACCACAATAAAACAATAAAGTGGATATTTTAACATCTCTTTGCAGACACAGAGGCTGCCTGGGGATCTGGGAAGTGGTTTGTCCAGGTTGCCCAGGGGATGGGCGCAGGATTGGAGCATAGCTCCATTAAGAGCCTACAGTCATGCCTGGCCTCTCTGTCCCACCTATGGCCAGTCAGGCCTGTATTGGTTATGGCTGTAAATGTGGACATTCAAAGGCATTGGTTCATACCTTTTAGGACTTGCCAACCCCTTTGAGAATGGATTTCCCCTCAGACAAATGTAACACTCAGCCCAAAGTAATAGAATTTCAAGAAGACCATGACCCCTTCAACAATGTGGACAGGGTCCTACAATCGTCTGCTTTTCAAGGAAATTATTCCCTTAGTTGCAGTCAAAGTCATATTTGAATCTTAGTTTCCCCTGTCTTTAAACTTGAGTCTTAATTACAAGACTGTGGCTGTCCTTGACTCTGATAGTGGAAATTGATGCATAAACCAAAACTCAGGCCTGCAACTGGCACTAAAATATGATGCTGAGACTTACTTAACGACTTAGTTGATTTTTATACAAAAAAACCCTCTACTTTATATGTATACCCCATATAGAGTCCTCAAAGAAAAAGAAAAAAGGAAAACCCTGGCATATAATCTTTGCATAATAGATCAATTATAGATTTCCCAAATCCCAGTAATCTAGCTTTCAAGGCTTCTTTGAATAATTATATTTTCACATTTAAATTTCAGAACCCTCTAAAAGAAGGAGGAATAATTTCAAGGGAAATTATTTATTCTTATGATAAACAAGTCCAAAGCTGGGCTTAGACACATTAACTGATCTTCATCTCAGTTAACATATGTTGAACACCTACTAGTGCTCAGCACATGCAAAATACTTCAGTACACTTTGTCTCATTTCATCCCCTACCCTCAGCAACACCTTGAGGGAGACAAAGCCATTCTTAACACCCTCATTTCACAGAAGAGGAAACTGAGGTCGAGAGAAGCTGTCTGACCTGCCCAAGGTTAAACAAATGGGAAATAGAAAAGCCAGGACTGAAGCTCTGGGTTCCAGACTCCAAGACCTGTTTGCTTGTGCCTCAACCAACATGTGAAGCAATGTTTCAGATGCAGGTCTGGGATAAGAACTTGCTGCATATAGTGCAGATTCCAAGAAAGCAGTCCTGTAAGTACATGTCACGTCCATTTGTACTGCTAATTAGAGAACTTTATCCTCCCCGATATTCAGAAGTTGCTCCCAGACCTCCTTTACTGTGAAGCCCCCGACCACCACTCCCCCCCGTAGTGGAGGGTTTCATCCCCTGAACCTTGGGCCAATTATCACACTGGGTCATGGTCATCTGGTGTCCTCTGTGGTGATTGCCATTAAGGGTAGTAAATGTTTGAATTTTATCAGGAACATCTAGGGCATGAGTTGAGGGCTTGGCCCAACATTGGTTGCCATAGCAACGACGAGTTGAACTTGGCTTCTGACTAGATGTCTGGGCAGGTGCACAAACTGGAGGAAGCAAGGATGACTCACTGCCTGAGGTGATGAGGGTGACTCAGCTGTTGAGGGAGAGGGACAGGCAGGAGGCTGGCCTCGGATGACCAGCATTTCTGAGAAGGTCTGGTCTTTCCTGAAAAGCTGAGGGTTCCTGAAGTGCAAGGATCGCCTCTCGGTCATCTCTACATCTCGTGTGGAGCTCAACATAGCACTGAGTAGTGCCCAGTGAATGGTGAATGTGTATTGCCCCATTAATGCCAAGTTGTGAACTGGCCCAGTTCACAGTGTTTTTCAAACTGCCAGTTATGACCCACTAGTGGGCCCTGAAATCACTTTTGGTGCTTCAGGCAGCATTTTCTATTGGTAAGCTAGAAAAGAAGTGAAAAGGAGAAAAAATTGAAAGTGCCTTGTACATAGTAAGGGTCAGTATTATTTTCCGTGAAAATATTTTTCATGGAAAACTTTTAAAGTCTATATAGTGGTGGTGGTGGGGCGTGTGTGTGTGTGTGCGTGTGTGTGTGTGTGTGTACTGGGAATGATGTGAAATACATTCTTATTCTGAGTCCAAAATATTTGAAAAACAATGGTTAGAGAACAATCTCAGAAACTTACTTGGCCAGTTTCCTGATTATAGAAACGTTAAAATCTCATGGTCATTTGCAATGTTCATCCATGATTCATTGTTCATAAAAAAAACATCTGCTATGGTTGCCTTCTCCATTGTGTCAGCCTGTTAGGTGAGAAAGTGAAACATCCAGGAACAAGTGACCGGCTCAGTACCGCTGGAGCCATTAATTAGGCAGCAGAGGCTAGAAGGGGTGTGTGACGGGTGGCATCTCATACCTGCCCATCTTCAAAGGCAGAGCCTTTGTTTGCTGAGCTTTTGAGATTCAAGCAGAATGAGGAGTGGGCTTGAACTACTGACATTTGCCTTCTGTCTGTCCCCACACCCTGACAGTTGGCTTAAATAATTCAGCCCCTGTATATCGATACTGTTTTTTTTTTAAGTGTATGACAGTCTTTACTTTTAAATGAGTATCAGTACACCAAGTAATAACACGTGACAAGTTCTTGAATTCTATCATCTAGTAATTTTGATTAAGAGACACTGAAAGCAGCCCGAACAATTATACTAGTATTCATTGTTCTAACCCTTAGCCAGAAAGGACTATTTTAAGGCTGGCTGCTGATTCATGTAGATTACAAGTAACTATTTACTACTTTTTCATAGATAAAGCCCCTGACCTTCAAGAAAGCTTTAGGGAAAAAAAAATTTTAATCCCTTTCTTTCTTAAGAAAAAAAAAAAGTTTAACTATATCTAAGAAAGAAAAATTCAGTATTGATATATATGCTGCTTGAGCGAAAAGGCATAAGAAAACAACATATATGCATTAAATTGCTAAGAAATATGAGGTAAAAAGATAAAAATCTTTGGATAAGCTCTAAGTTTGTATGAAGAAGCTAGATCTGCTATTCTGCAAAAAGTGAAGGAACCTACTACGTAATATACAGAAATAATTTAATGCCTTTTCACAAGACTATAACTCAAGCCCTGCTAAAGCTTCCCATTCCATGAAGGCATCTAAAATGCCAGCCATGGAACGGGCACGTCTTCCTTCCTCCCCTATCCATTTATGCGGTAGTTTTCGTGGATTTCGGGCCGGATGTCGCAGACAAAGACCATGAGTTTATCCAAGACTTCATCCCTGTTCTGCCGGAAGTAGGTCTGAAGGATGGTCATCTTCTCCTGGGTGTCCTTCTCCACCTCAGTGCTGCAGCTGCCGTGGGATCCCAGAGCCGCAGCCTCCTTGGCCTTGAACTCCTTCTCCCTCTGCAGGCGGTACTGTTCAATTTCAGCCTGGGCTTCTTTGGCCTGCTTCAGCCTCCAGTTCTTTCGCTTGCGGGCCTCCGACACCTTCTCCGCGGCCCGCTTCTCGGCCTGGAGCAGCTGCTGCATGCCCTGCAACTGACTAGCCATGGCGGCCGCTACTCCGAGGCAGCGGAAAGCCTCGATACTGTTTTATTGTTCCCAATTTATTGTGTCATTGGCAGTCTTGTCTCTTCAGTGAGTTTATACACTACTTGAATGTGTTTTCTTTTGCATCTCCAAAATGCCTAGCAGGGGTAGGAATACAGTAGGCACTCAATATGTGCTTCCAACTTATTAACAACTACTCTTTGTTCAGGTCTCGGCTAAGACATCCTTTATAGATGATCTACATCAGTGAAGAGCCAGGAACTTCTGGCTCATCTTCTCCTACCATGGAACATGTATCATGTGGCTTTGTAGTTATGTGTGTAACAGTCTGTCTCCTTTGCTTAGACTGTGACCCTACCAAGGAAAGGAAGTATGTGAATTCTGTCCATCATTGTATCCTCAGCCCCTAACACAGCACAACACCTGCCTGCTTTGTTCATTGTCTCCTCAGTGATTGACACTTGCTAAGTTATTGCCATAAGATTAACACTTGTTAGTTATTGCCATAAGAATGCTGAGTAACAAACAACCCCAGTGTCTCAATGGTATATTAAATTAGCATTTGCTTTTGTGGGGCAGCTCTAAGCTGCAGGTTTGTACTGGATCTGTTCCATGTTTTTCTCACCCTTCTTAGACCAGCAAGCTAGCCAGGGCATGTTTTTCTATGATGATGGTAAAAACACAAAAGAGCAAGTTCTTCTGCACAAGTGGTTCTTAGGCCTTTGGTTCCATCATGTCTCTTAACATACCTTTGGCCAAAGTTCATTAAGTCCAAAGTCAAGGAGCAAGGGAGCAAGTCTAGCCTATGGAGGTAGGGGAGATGAAGGGAACAGTGAATATTTCTGAATAATCGGCCAAATAAGGTCTCAGGTTCTCACTAAATGTTCATGGAATGGAAAGGAAACAATGAAAATAGCTGGATTCCAGGAATTTCCCATCATACAGGTTACAAAAATCCATGGGACTCTACCTCCTGACATAGCTCTATGGAGAAAGCCAGAGCCTTCTCTAACAGATAACAGCCCAACCACCCAGAGTTAAGTTTGCTGGGCAGGTAAATCATTCCCTCAGGAGGTTGCCAGCAGAGACTTCCTGCAGGGCGCCCAGGGGCAGCAGCTGCCTCTCGGAGGGAGAATGGGACAGTGACCACTAGGTTCTCAAGAGGTGTCAGTGGACAGAATCTCTGGCAGGTCTGAGGAAATGATTTTTTGTCTCCTTTGGAAATGTCTGCATAAAGGTGAATGCTAGTGTGTTTGTTAAAATCAGCAGGTCAGGACATAGAGGAGACCTTTTAAAAGAACTGGACATTATTTCTAAGAGGATTCGAAGTCTTGGTTCGTATTTTGGCTTTGTGGTACCAACTCTGATGTGGTTTGAGGCTGGGCAAGGTTTTGTGCCCCTCCTTTGGTTAGCTGAAATATAACAATCTGTTTTCCTCTCATTCTCTCTCCCCGCTGACTGCAGGAGTGCTCTGCTTGCCAGACAGCCTGAACCTTCACAGAGACCCGCAGCGGACCAGCAAGCCAGGAGAGCTGCCCATGTTCAGCCAGTCTGAGCTGAGGACCATCGAGCAATCCTTGTTGGCCACTCGTGTGGGCAGCATTGCAGAACTGAGTAAGTGAACGCTGGTTCTCCTGCCCTTTCTATGCCCAAGTGGCCAGCTGCCTGCAGGACAGTGCTCTGTCACCAGCCAGGTGACTGCTTTTATTGAGCACCTTCTGTGTACACAAATCAGTGCTGATGGCCATGGGGAAAGCGAGGGCTCTGGAGTCAGGCTCTTCTCTGATGTAGGTCAAGTTCCTACCCTTTTCTAAGCCTCAGATTCCTTTTTCTATAACATAGAGAAAGTAATAATACTTCACTTAGGGTGCAGTGGCAGTAATTCAGCAAGCTAATGCCCATAAAGGGGCCCCCACAGTGCCTGGCACACTGTAAATGCTGTTAACACTGTTGATTTCCACAATGGGATCCACTGAAAGCATATGTCGAATCACATCTCTCCTTTGTTCAGAATCCTCCACTGACTCCCCAGCTGATCTGCAGGAAAAGCCAAAGTCTTCACAACTGTGTCCAGGCTCCCTGACCTGTGTCCCTCAGACATCTTCTTCCACTCTCTCCCAAAGCCCACTGAACTCCAGTCACACTGGCCCCTGGTATTCCTTGAATGTAGCAGACATACCTCAGGGCCTTTGCACTCACTGTTCCCACTTCCTGAACCACTCTCTTCCCCAGCTATCCACATAGCTTGTTCCCTCATTGACTTCAAGTCTCACCCAAATGTTACCTCTTAACGAAGCTTTCCCTGCCTACCCTATTTAAAATTAGAACACCCTGAGGACCCTTCTCCTACTTCACTGCTTTACCTTTCTCCCCAGAAGTTATCCTATGACATACTCTCTAATTTTTAATAACATCTCCACTGAGATGTAATTCATATACAGTTCACCTACTTAAAATGTACCATCCAATGGCTTTTAGTATATTGGCCAAATTATGCAACCATAACCACAATCAATTTTAGAACATTTTCATCACCCCAACAAGAAACCTGATAACCATTAGCAATCACTGCCTTCCCCATTCCTTGAGGTCACATTCTATAGTTTACTCATTATTTTAAATAGTCTATTTCTCCCTACTACAGTATATTCTCACAGAGAGTAGAAATATTTGTTTTGTTCATTGATGTAAGCCCAACATTAAAAATACTGCCTGGCATGTAGTAGGCCCTCAGGAAATAGGGAGAAAGAGGGAGGGAGAGAGAGAAAGGGGCAGAAATGTGGAGAGAGGAGAGGAATTGTCAGGAAGGTTGGGTTTTCCCAAGTTTGAGCAATGACTTGTCAGGCAGGCACCTCCCCTAATTCAGGGCTGAGCTCTCTGAGTCTGGCCAACCAGAGGGAAATAAAACTGTATATACTTGTGATCCAACTGATTGTCAAATGACATAGCTATGTGTTAGTTCCGGGTGGGACTGGTACATTGATGTCAGAAATGCTAGAGAATGTTAAAGTATGAGTTGGTGTGAAAATCCAGAAAATTCTTAACTGTAAATAGATTCAGTTAAGAGCGACTTGTGCCTCTTCCCAAGTATTCCCAGTACACCCAGGACAGGCATCCTCCCTTGAGTATATGGCATGAGCCTCTGAAAAGGGAAGCAGAAGTTGGTTCAAGCCATAGGGGGTCCTTATGGTCACTAGAGTTACTTTCCTGGCACCTGAATTTAGAAATTGTGCTTCCGTTTCCATAAAGCCGCTGAAATCATGAGATGCCTCCAATTACAGGGTTTTCAGCTACTAGTCAGTTGTACGATGGTTCTTACACTTTCAGGTGCTATGGACCCCTTTGGCAATCTGATGAAGCCAGTGGACTCTGCCTCAGAATAATATTTTTATTTTTTTAGTGGAGGTATTTGGGATTGAACCCAGGACTTCGCATATGCTAAGCATGCACTCTGCCACTGAGCTATTGCCATCCCCCAGAATAATATTTTTAAATGCATGAAATTTTATTTTTTCAGTGTAGGAGTTTATAAAGGAAGCTAATTATATTAAAATACAATTATTAAAATATTTTACCTAAATTTGGGTATAGTAATTCTAAGCTTCTTCATTAGAACATTATAAAACAAGATCTAGCAGCAGCTCTGATGACCCATTATTTTGAAGTAGTGATGTGTGTGAATGATATTTTGAGATATCTGCAACAATTGGGATGGGATAAGGAAATGTCTGCATTTTAATAGCTCCCCAGGGACTCAGATGTAGGCGATCCAAGCAGCCCCTGTTGGGAAACATCTTGAAGAAGAAACGCCATATTCTCTGGGACTCCGCAAATTTCTAACACATGCCCATGACCTTGGAAATGCCGAATCTGCCTACAGTGTTGGTTCATATCTGCGTGGGCACAACCTGGGAAGAGGCCCCCACACGTTCTTCCCTAGGGTCTCAAAAGTTGGTCCTGGGATATTTTAAGGGCCCCTCCTAGCACCTGAGCTGGGGCCCTGCTTCATTCCAGTCCCTCTTGGAGGAAAGGCTTTGCTAAACAAATCTGCACTTCACCTTAGCAGGCAGACTGCAGGACTGGCTTGCTGCGTAAACTGTTTGTAAGGACAATTTGCTATTTAAATTAAACCCTGTCATTGTCGTTGAATGTTGACTTTCGCATATGAATTGTTGGCACACAAATGGGTGCTGCTAATTATGAGTGGGTTCCTTAACATTCATTAAGTCAGCCCCATAGAACGTGTGCACGGAAACACGTTGATAAGCCACGTTGGCGACCGAAGGTAATAAAATTGCCTTTGTTTCTGATCTGACTATAATTGAACTTGCTTGCTCTGTGGTCTGAATCAATACAGCCTTTCCTTCTCTGTGTACATAGAGAGCTGTTCTTCATATTCAAAGGTTTCTCTGCGAGTGTGGATTCCAGAAAGCACTATTTTTCCAGCAAAGGCAAGATGGAGAGGGTTTGTTCACAGCCATCCCTGTTCTTGAATCAGGCTGTTCAGGCTTGAGGGCAGAACCCCTGACTGTGGCTTTCTTAATAGCCAACAGTAATAATAGCAGCACCGATGTTACTGAGCTAGGGAACTATGAAAAATATCCGTGAGTTATTTCCAATGTAACCATTATTATCCACACTGACATAGGAATGGAGGCAAGAAAAGGATAAACAACTTGTCTAAGATCAAGCACCCTTGTGAGCTGATGGCTTGAAACTGAATCCAGTTCTCAAGGCAGAACTTCCATCCATCACCACTGGACTAGAGTCTGTCCAGCAGATATTTCTATATGTTCCAGGTGGAATGAGAGCACCCCTCTGTAAGACCAGAGTGTTGGTCAGATCTCTGTTCCTTCCAGGTCTGAGAATCTGCAGTTTGCTCTGTATGACGCATTGTGGATGCTCTCCTCAAAACCATTGGGAATGTGAAAATTCACAAAGGTTACCAAGTACCTACCTCACCAAGTACCTAGGTGGGGCACCATCCTTGCTGGCTGAGACTTCTCCCTGTATACCTCCTGCCTCCGTCCTCAGGGCATCATACTAAAATCCAGAACTATCTCCATCAGTGATGATGTCCAGAGCACTTTCTTTGTTCATGGCTTGGGGTGAAAGATACATCCACTATTTCCAGACCACCTACTGTGTGCCACATGCTTTAAATACATTCAAGGTATTTTTATTCCCATTTCACAGGTAAGAAAACTAAGACTTGGAAGGATATGTGTTTTACCCAAAGCCACACAGCCAGTAAGTGGCAGTCACAATTCAAACCTAGTTTGTTCCTTTTCTACCCTGCTGTGCTGTGTCTAGTTTAGCTTTGCATTCTAGGCACCTAACAGTCACCCATAGCTGGGGAATATCTGTTGAATGTGAAATGAATAAATGAATGACACACAGTGAACTAGTCTGTGAAACAAAAGCCAAAGAAAATGCTACAGGTGAAGGGAACGCTTAATGAAACTCTTGTCAAATATTAAATATTCTATTGAACTGAATTTTGAACTCAGAGAACTAGAACTGAACCTCTGTATGTCTCAATTATTTGAATGCGAAGCTAAATCAGGATAACACAAAGGTCAGTTTGGACTGACACAGGCTGGTGATTCTTGGCCGTGAGCTGTAGGAAATTCACAAGGCGATGAGCTGAACTTCACAGTTGACTTAGAGTCTGGCTGGCAGACTTTTTACCTGAACCAGGCAGGAGTAGGTCTAAGGGAAGCAGAGGCACTCTGTCTCCCACGCTGAGGCCACAGGGAAAGTAGGGGCCCTGGCTATTCTCACTTTTGAACCAACTGCGTTTGGTTCCATCAATGCCACATTTCTGTCCTCTGAGATCTTGTTGAAGCTCTTCTGCCCAACGCCTCGTCTTGCCCCCAAGCTCCCAATTACAATCAAATTGGACAGTCATTAATTAGAATAATTGCTTTCTGTTGTTTAAAGAGAAAAAAATCAGGGCTTCATCAAAAAATGCCTCTTTCTGTTTTCTTTTCACACTAAACTGTGAATTTGTTGTTCCCACTCCATGAGTCAATCAAAACAGGGCCATTAATTTAAAACTTGTGCATAAACAGGGTTTCTGGATTATCTTTCTACAGTATCACCAGAAAAAAAAAAATAGCCCTTATTGCTTGGACAAGGGGCTTTCTCGAATGCAAATGGGCTCTTTTCAGAAGGTCCTCCTGCCTCCAGCCCCTATAATGCACCTGTGACCCTTTCACGTGATAAAGTGGCCATGACCTCTGGGTATTTCTTGAATACTCCACTCCACCACAGGGCTTTTGCAGTTGCTGCTCCTTCTGCGTGGAAAGCTTTTCCCTTGATATTGACCAAGCTCCTCCCTCACTTCATTCAGGCCACTGCTCAAATGTCATCTCCTCAGAGAGACCCTCCTATGACAGCCCCACTCACCCCTCCCTCCATCACTGCTTTCTTTCCTGCTTTAATTTTCTTCATAGCACTTAGCACCATCTGACATACTATATATTTATTTATTTGTTTATTTTCTGTCCACCCCAAGACTGCAAACCCCATAAGAATGAAGACTTATTTTTAAATGTCATTGACTGTATCCCCAGTGCCTAGAACAACGTCTCAATGAACTCAATAAATAT